ATCCTGGGATATGGAAAATTGAAAATCCTATCTATTTGGGCCAAGGCACTCATAATATGACACTTACCCCACTCTCGATAGAGATTATCTCCACGATGTGCCTTGTCAGATTCGAGCACAGTCTGGATAAGCTTCTCTATCGGTTGATAAAGTTCGGCCATTTGCTTCACTTCCCGCGCAAACTTTAGGCGCCGTTGGCTGCAATTTTCCCATGTAGAACGAAGCTCTGCATCCAACGCATCCTCCGCTCGCTTTTGCTTCAAAAACGAATCCCACCAAGCTTCTAAAGCGGAGTCCGACTCGGATTGAACCGCAGCCGTTACTGGTTCCTCAGTCGGAGGACCAGCCTCATTGTCCATGTGGCTGTAGAAATAATGAAAGCACATTATCAAATCAGTTGAGTATGAGAGATGATAGGTGGGTTTGTTCAACATCACAATCGAGCGGGGCGGAGCTGGTCTACCACAAACCCGCAGTAAACAATAATAATAATAATAAACAAATAATAATAGTTCAGCTGTATCACCCTTCCGGTGCCTAGCTGCCATGCCACCCGGAGGAAGCACGAGGGCTGGGATACTCCTAGGTCGCCCAGGCCTAGACAGAGGAAGTCGAGTGGCACAGGTCGGGTTCGAAGCACGGACCTTCCGGTTAGTAAATTAGCGCTCTAACCACTTGGGCCACCTCGCATCACGTAGTAAACAACGCCCATTGGCATGAAGCACATCCAGAAGAGCAAGGAGACATCAGAGACTTATAATTCACCTGAATTTTTCCCCGTGAAAGTAGCTTCTAGGGCCCTGTCCAAGTCTAATGCACCAGAATTTGGGTCATGTACCTGGCAAGTTGGTAAAGCGTATAACCCTAGCCAGAAATAGGAAAGCGTGACAAGACACCCGGCCCTGCACTCCTGAAAGGTGGTACACCCTGGTGAGCGGTCTGATAACTCTACTGTGGAAGATTTGGGATGAAAGTTGAACGCCGGTGGAAAGAAGCGCCTCGACTGACACATGGTCTTCAAAAAGGCCGCATGCAGAAACCATCGCAGAACCAGCCTGATGGCCGTTGCATCTAAGGGACTTTCAGAATTACTATGCACAGATTGATCAATCATCGGAAGAGACAAAGTCGTGAGAACCAGCTTGGCTGAGAAAAAGCATTGACCATATCCTTATCTTGAGACAAGTCCTTGCAAACTGCCACATTTTCAAACGTCCCATGTTGATCATTCTCCCTGATCAGAAATCTGACTCTATGGATCGCTGCGACCTGAAACTATCATCTTGTCGTGTTGGTCGAGTTGGAACTCAGTTCCTCAGGGTTCAGCCATGTCAGAAAGGTCAACGGAAAGCATCCCGAAGAACAGCGAGGGCAACCACAAATTAAATTACGAGGAGGTCTGGAGGTAAAGACATTATACCCTTTGCAATAGGAGTGTGAAGATCCGCCCTAAATATCGTACAGTTCGATTGCATAACGGTGGACCGCGGCCGCCGCTCATTACTCGATACAGTCAAAAAACTTTTAAAACCAAAGTCTGTTGCTGCTGCACAGTCGCATTAAGAGTTATACACCAATGCTTAGCCTCTGCGGCCTCGGGCCAGGAAAGCCCCCCACAACCAATTGAGTCAAACAACTGAGTCGATGGATCCGAGAAGGGTCCCTCAAGAGAACCATAACAAACGCTACCTAGAGTTTAGGCTCTTCAAACAGAGGGTAGGGGAAGGGTACTCGAAGAAAAACCTACACCCACTGATTTGTGAGTCAGACGTTTGAGTCAAAGGCTCAAGGCAGGATATCTCAACCAAACCTCCTTCAATCCAGTTCTTTAGCTCACAAGTCGGTCACAAAAATGCAGGAGCTCCAGTTGCTACAGCTTTGTTGAGCTCGAGATGGCTCCGTGGTTCGAAACCGATTTCAGCATCTCGACTGCTACTGTCTAGGCTTGGGCAATCCGGCAATATTTCGGCCAGGTGGCGTGGCAGCTAGGCACCAAAATGATGCCGATGGAAAACGTATAATACGTGTATAAAGATATGTTCACCGAAGATAAGGATAATTAGGGAATGTACTACGTGCTGGAGGCGACGGCGCAATCAATTTATCGAGGACGAATGGCTCCGTTTGTTCGGCGTTGTAGGGATTGAGAGCTAAGCAATGAAGGCAATAGCTTTGGTGCAGGACCACCATTTACTGCGTGATACGGCCTACCTATCAGGATCATCAACCATTGGTCTCTCTTGTCTCGCGGTCCCCATATGGGAAAACAGAATTTACCAATGCAACTGAAGAGACTGGATCTTACCGTGTGTCATGAATATTCTTTGTGCTCACATGAGACTGGATCCGTGTGTCATGAATATTCTTTGTGCTCACGTTATCGTTTTGTATTAACCATGCTTTCGCCTTGATTTTCAGCTTATGTATGTACATTCTTAGACAAGTAAAGCGCTATTCATTCTACTCTATTAATTCTTGTTCTCGCGCCCAATCAGAATCGATATTCTATTCGTAACAATTTACTTGTCTAAGAATACAATGGAACCGTTGCTGCGACCCAAGTGTTTCGACGCAGATCCTAATTCTCCAGACGCAACAACGCGTTGGAATCATTGGTTCCGAACCTTCCAAACGTTTCTGGGCACTGTCGAATCGCCCAATCTAAATAAACTCGAAACTCTGATCCATTTTGTGGATGCACCTGTATACGTTTATATCGCTGACTGTCCAGA